CGGGCCATTTGATCTAGGCCGCCGGCTCCGGGCCGCGCGCCAGTTCCCTTAGGAGGCTCCCGGGTGACAGCCTGGATCCTTTTTTGTCCTCCCGTTTTAAAAGGGCAGGGCCAGAGTCCACTGTGTCCCTCTCGGTCATCTCTGCAGAGACGGGAGGAAATGCAGGGGCAGCCCCCTCCGCGCCAGCTGCGAGCGCGTTCTGGGGTGTCCCCTTGCCGCCCGCAGGAATGCCGGCCTGCGAGTGGGCGGCGGGCGGGGAAAATGCCCATTTCATTATCTTTTAAAACGCTTTACGTTCGCTTCCTCGTCCCAGCTAACTTATGCTTCGTACAGCTTTTTTCATTTAGACAGTTCTTTTACTCCAGCACATCTGTACGAGATTAAGCGCCCTTTAATTATTATTATTTTCCTTTTACCCTGTAGGAAGCTAAATGCCGTGCCCTGCCTGTGGTTCAGAATTGGGCACCAGACAACCGCCACCCCGACCAAGCCTTCCCCGGAGAAGCAGAAGGGGAACGTGCTCTGTGGGGAGGGGGGCAAAGGCCTCCCCAGGCCCGTGGGCTTTCACGCCGACGCCGTGCGTTTACCTGCCCGGCGGGGTTCAGGCAGCTTCTGCCCTTCTGGCGGAACGAGCCTCTTCCAGGCGGGGGGCAGGCTGTGTTCAGCTGGGCTGTGACTGGGGTAGGACCGTCTCTATCACTGAGTACTTTCCACTTGGGAACGTGCTCTCCCTCTGTCATCTCAGGGGAGCTCTGCAAGAACTGTGAAGTAGACCCATTTTATGGATGGAAAAGTGAGGCACGGAGTATTAGGCCCCGGTCACAAAGAGAGCCACTGAGGTATCATGAATTAGTGAAGTGAATAGTACAAGAATAATACAGACTGAACCACAGTGAGGATCCAGTCATTCTTCTTCCCTGATCCCACTTAGCCAAGCTTTTAGGGGCTTACAGACCTGTTCTTGTTGCCGAGCCCACCGCTCTACCCTATCCTTTCATCAGTCAGAGCCTGGCCTCTGATACCATTTATTTCTGTTGATGTAGACGACGACATTGTTACCCTGAGTGACAGTCATAACAGAACAAAGCCACGAGACCAGACTGCATTTATGGATAAATATATTAGCAAATAAATACATTTCTCAACATAATGCCTGATTCAAGCGTCTTTCTGTCTGGTTCAGATATAAATAACCATGTGGGCGCCTAGGTGCCAGTTCCCCACTGACTCTGAGGGAAGATTCCCAGGTGGGGTCCTGAGCCCACTGTGCTCCCACATTCACATTCCAAATGGGATAATGTCTGAGGGGCCAACAATGGTCAGGCTGCCCTGGGGGGAATGTCACCCCAAGGCGGCCCCTCAGCCCTTGCCCACTCGGTACCAGCTGCTCAGACCAGACTTCCTGCTCCAACTCTGCTCTCGCGTGCACACCTTCCTGTGCGTCCCTGGCCTATATGGCTTATACTGGGAAACTGAGCCTGTGGAACATCTAAACCCAAGGGTCCCGCTTCACTTTCCTTTGTTCTCTCCTGTTCCCCATCCCTGCTCTGAGAAGAATTCCTTGCTGTTCTTGTTTGGCTTTTCTGCCTTTATTCCATCTGCCCTCTTCCTAGATGAAGTCCAACAGAAATCCTCTTCCTTCTGTCCACTTTAGGACTTTGAGATAGATCTCCAAGAAGTTATTCCCTCCCATTACTCCTATCCCCAACTCCTGGAGAAATTGGGGCTGCTGGAGTGACAAGGGAGTTTGACGATGAGAGGCTCCACCTCAGGGAGAGAACTCCATACTCTGGCTTCCCAGAGCCTCCCCTCTGACTTAATACAGTGTATCTGAAAATTAAGGACAAGAAGGGAGAAACATATTCCCTTATGTACCAGGCAGTACTGCCTGGAGAAACTACATAGTTCCCTCCTCCCCACCACTCTGCTTCTAGGGCTCAGGGGTCACCTCAGCTCTTGATCCTTTTGCAAAGAAGGCGAGTGTTAAGAGCCAGGATTGGCGCTAAAGCAGCAGCCTTACCAAGGAGGAGCCAAAGCTGGTGTGCAGGATTCACCCAAGAAAGGAGGTGAGAAGGGGTCATGCATTCGGCTGGACCCACTGGCTGGTATTAACATGAGGCCTGGGATGAGGGAGACCTGCTGGGGCTGGGGGAAGGAGCAGCACCTTTATAACACCTATCTACCCATACCTAGCTTCCTGCTCTCAAAAAACAGCCTTCAAGGGAGCCAGCCCACACAGGCAGTAGCTGGTTCCCTGCTAGACACAGACATTGCTGCACCGCAGATGTCTGCAGACAAGCTCTGGAGCTGGGAGCAGGAAACACCACCTCCTGCCACCCACCATCACCACTCCTCTTCCAGTGGTTCCAGAAAGGGCAGCAAAAAGAGGGGTGTTTTCTGAGATCCTTTCTTCTCTCAGGAGCAGGACTCTGTGTCAGGTAGGCTCTGAGTCACCCCAGAGCACACTCTTGGTTGGAGGTAAGCCTGAACATCTCACACGGCCTGTTCACACAGCTCCTCGAGCTCCTCCTCCGAGCCTGCATGTAGAGAGAGGGGAGGAAAGAGGTCACGGAGGGTCACACAGCCCCTTGCTTATACCACCTGCAGGAGAGTATGGCTGGGAGGGAACCACAGAGAGGGAGGAACAGGGAGTGGAGATACAGTTAACAGAACCTGGCATTGTTTGGATTTGAGGAACAGGGAAAGGGGAGTCACTGAAACTAGTTCTGAGGTTGGGAGAGAGGGGAGGTGGTGGTCTGTCACTGGCAGCACTGAGAGTACACACATGACAGGGTCCAAATATAATCATCAGACACATGGCCAAAGCCTGCATTGCAGGGCTCTATGAAAGCAATTATGTATTTTCTTTACTGTAACTGCATGCCTGTCTCCCCATAGACCTGGGTCTCCTGGTTGACAAGTTCCATGGCCTTGGAGCCTAGCATATAGCAAGCATACAATACAGAAAGGAGAAAGGGGGGAAAAAGAAAGGAATGAATGAATGAATGACAGCAGCTCTAGGATTCCTAAACTCCGAGGTCTTATATTTCAAGAACTCTGAGTCCCCTCTTGGATGGAGGGATCCTCCTAGAGATTTCTGCAGGCAAAGGACTATGTCATCCACACAATGGGAGAAGATGGGGGAGATCAGGAGGTCGAAGGTCTGGAAGAGGAGGGTTTGAGCCAATAAATACCAAGTTAAAGTTGAGGATTTACATGATCATCATTGGTTGTGATACAGTAACAGGGATATACTGAGCCTCCCCCCCCCCCAAGAAAATGAGGTCCATCTTATTAACAAGGTGCTTCAAAGGGAGGCCCTACCTGTTCTTTTACCCCAGGGGAGAGGAGAAAGCCAAAGGCCCCATACGGCTGCTGGGACTGCCCCTGACCTGTTTTTTCTTTCTGCATCATTCACGCAGCAGTTCTCACATGGCCTAGTATTATATTATCAGTGATTATTTCTCCTCCGTGCTCTCTTCAATGGCAAGGAATACTTCTTGGCCTTCTTTGCATTTAAGGCTAGCATTGAGCTGTATGCATGGGTATGGCTGTACCAATTATTAAAATATTAAAGCACTTCCATCTGAGCTGCTGCCTCAAACCACCCCAAATGCTTTCTACTGTCTCAGCCACACAAGGACTTTCCCTGAGACCTCCCTATGATCTGGCAGCCAAGGACTGACACCTGGCAGAGCCAGAGCACTCTAGCCAGCCTCCTATGCTACGCCAGTTGTTCATTATTTTGAATGTCATGCTTGTATACTTCTCAGCTTCCATCAACCCCTCGTTGTTTGATTTCATTCGTTCTGCAATAGACAGCTCTAGTCTCCTCTCCCCACCACACCCGCTTCCCCTGAAAACTCACCAGGCTGGGCTGGCAGCACCTGGCAGTGTGGGTAAGGGCATGGCCTGCCCTCTGGGGTGCCAGAACTCCATCTGGAAGGCGCTTCCCCAGGTGGGTGTGGTCCCAGGGGCTGGCGTGGAGTCAGACACAACCACACTGGCTGTGAACTTGAGTAACAGGGGCCTGGGGTTTCTGGTAGCATCCTCCTGTCCAGGCCCGGAGGTCCAAAGATCAAGGGGTGGGCCTCTGGGGGCCAAGGGTATGCGAGGCTGGGCTCATAATGGGGGAAAATCTGGCAAGCTGGGTGTGTAGTCAAATCCTGGGGCCGAGAGGCCGGGACAGGCTCTGAGGGACCCCCCCGCCGTTTCCTCTGTGGGTGTCGGACAGGGAAGCTGGATTTTTGCAAGTGGAAGAGACTGCTGGGGCTGGGGCTGGGGCTGGAAGCATCATTCAGGTCTGGGGCTGGCTCTGTGAGGGCCCTGGGTCGCTGTGGGTTGGGGGGCTGCCCTGATGGAGCTGCTGGGTTGGATCTGGCAGCTTGTTGATCAGGAGAAGGTGGCTCTGGCTGGGGCTGTGTCCGAGGAACCTCATGCCGGGACTGCAGGACCCCCGTTTCGGCACCAGGCTTCCTGCCGTGCCACTGGAAGCGCTTTTTGTAGTGGTGGTGCCGATGGCGGTGGTAGTGGACGTGGCTGGTAACCTGGGCTTCCCCTTTGGGCACCACAGAGTCCAAAGAACGGGGCCGCGAGGTCACATTGGGCTGTGTCTCCTCCCCCTGGGGCTCCCCCTCAGGGCTGCAGTACACCAAGGGGTCAAAGTCACTGCTTAGAGAGCTGCGGAAGGTAGAGCTGCTGCCGTGGATACCTTGGAGGCTGATGTCCGTGCAGTTGACCACTGAGTCACTTGAAGAGCCATGACAGGGCCCTGAGCTGGAGTCACTGGCTGGCCCATCTGCCAGGTAGCCGCTGCGTTCTGTGCAGTAGCTTTCTGCAGACCCACTGCTGTCATGAGGCCTGGACCGGCGCGGGGGTGCTGGGCAAGCGGCAGTGTGCTGTGAGGTGCACTGAAGGCGGCTCAGACCCCAGCCCTGCGCAAAGGGGTGCTGGGCCACCGGAAGGCGCTGTTGCTCACTTGGAGCCAGGGGATGTGCAGTTCTGGGGAGACGGTGGTGCCGGGGGCCCATGCTTGGCTCCTGGGATGGTTGGAAGGGACCAGGTCGTGGGGGCCGAGCCACTGAAGTCTGGGAAGGGCCCAGCAGGTAGGAAGCAGGGAGGTGGTAGTGGGCATGGCCGGGATGCTGACGAATGAGGTGGAGTCTCCGGCCTGGTTCCTGGTAAGATCGAGAGGGTCCCAAGGGCTGGGAAAATGAATCTCCCTCTGGAAGAAAGAACCAAGAGCACAGGTGTTTGCACAAACCTATGGAGGGTGCATTCAGGAAGGTGTGGCTATAGCATACCTATTGGAGCCTGCATAGCTTTAGAGCCCAGTCAGAGTTTGGAGGACCACAGACATTCCTGACCTGCTTATGCCCTGGGCTGTCTTCACTCCCTCCAGTCAGGTTGTCCCCTGGGAGTTCCACTGTGCATGTCAACCCCTGCTCTTCCCCCAGTCATTTGGCGCTCTTTCACACAGGCCACACTGCAAGCCCACACTACACCTTTGGGTGCATTAGAAAAAGGCTCTTTTCCTCAATGTACTTTATTTACATCTCTTAGAAAACTGTCATATAATATCCTGGTTTTGTTAGAATAGGATACTTTATTGCCAGAAAGCTGGAATAATAAACATACAAATTCAGATTTAGAATCGACAAAGTTGTCATAAAAATACGAATACTTTTTGGCATAATAAAGATGTCCACAACGTGAAGGGCCGGCCCCTCAGACAAGGCATCCTGAGCAGTGCTCAGCTTAAAGAACAGTTGAGGCAGCGTGGCTTCTCCCAGCTTCAAGGCAAAACCCTTTCCCACAGGGAAGCCACATTCTAGACCCATCTACCTGTACACAGGACAGACCTTGGCCCACCTCCTACCTACGATGTTGAACATGCAGAGGGGACAAGTCCGATGCTGATGTAGCCAGGGGTCCACACAGACACGATGGAATTCATGGAGGCAGGAAATGACTCGTAGCTCCTGGAGAAAGCAAAGGGGCCCGAACCAAAGTTATCTGTAGCTACAGGAGCGACCAGGAACCAGGACGTCCCCCTAACTCCCTCTGGCCTCTCCTTTTTGCTTTTATCTACTTGCAAAAGACCTCCTAGTGGAATAGAAAAGGTATGGGCTTTGGTATAGGGTAGGCCTGGATTTTGCCACTTAGCTGCATGACCTTGGGTAAGTTTCTTAACAGACAGTTTTCTGCTGTACAAAAGGATAAAACACTAATCTACCTTTATCCCTCGTGGTCATGGGACTGAAAGGAGATAATGCATTGAAAGCACCCACTGCAGAGCCTGGCACATAGCACATACTCAACAAACAATAGTTCTCTTTACGGCAAGACCAGGAAAATAACCAAACCTCAGGGCTGCCCCCCTGCCTCTGCCCCATGCAGGGCACAGAGGACACAGATGCAGCCGGAGCGCGCCCACATCAGCCTCCTCCCCCAAGCTGCAGTCTCCCTCCCCAGCCTGGTCACAGAGGTGACCCACAAGCCCTGCCTTACCTGGCCCTCAGAGAACTCCTCCAGGCAGATGGCACACACAGGGGCTGAGCTGCAGCTGCTCCCTGAGTCCGGCCACTCAGCCCGGGCCCTCCTGCAGCTGGCCCGGTACCTCCTGGTGGCCAGCTGGCTGATGGCCCAGGCTGTTCGCTGCTGAAGGGAATCCTGGGAAGACGGGTAGGGCTCGGAATGGGCAAGGGCTCCTTTTCCCTCATCCCTGGGTCCCAGCTTGGACTCAGTTCCCGGTCACCCAGATAGATCATGGGTCAATTGACTACCTTTGAAAGTTTGTCCCTTTCGAGCTCATATATGGCTCTGCCAAGCAGGCCAAGCCCTCCCACCCCACTCCCCCACTCATCAAGCCTTCCTTCCCTTGATGCCAATGGAAAAAGTTTTTATACAACTGTCTGCTTAACATTTCAACTTGCATATCTAATTGGCATGTCACACTGTATCCAGCCCACTCAAACACCACAATGTGCCACAAATGGAATTCCCTAATCCCAATTAACCACCCCTAACCACATATCTGCCATCCCCCAATCTTCCCCATCTCAGTAAATGGCAATTCCATTCTTTTAATTGCTCAGGCCAAAAATTTTGGTGCCATTCCTGAGTCCTCTCTCTCACACCCCATGATCACCCCATTAGTAAACCTGTTAGCTCCACCTTCAAAATATGCCAAGAATTTAACTAACTCTCGCTACTTTCACTGCTACCTCCCTAACCCAAGCTACCATTATTGTCACCTGGACTCCTGTAATAGCCTCTTAGTTGGTTTCTCTGTTTCCAGCCCTGCTTCCCTGTAATCTAGTCTTCTCAAAGCGGCAAGAAGGATCATGTTAAAACTTAAGTCAGATCATGGCACTCCTTCTGTTCAAAGCCTTCCAGTGGCTCTCATTTCACCCAGAGTGAAAAACAAAATCCTGACAATGGCCTAAAAGGTCCAATGCAACTGGGCCCTCATGAACTCTGTCCTGACTCCTCCTCTGCCCTCTCACTCACTCTGTTCCAATCACATGGCCTTCTCACTGCTCCTCAGACATCCCTCAAGGCCTTTACACTTACTGCTCTCTCCACTCAATCACTTCGTCCCAGATACCTGCACAGGTCACCCCCTCCCCCATTTAGGGTCTTTCCTGTAATGTCACCTTCTCAATGAGGCTTCCTGGCCTTACTTTTTAAAATTAACTCTGTCTTCTTTGCATTCTCTCTCCCCCTTTCTCTTTTTTTTTCCCCCTAGCACATACCACCATCTAAAATACTATATATTTTACTTATTTTGTTCATTGTCTGTCTCTTCCCACTAGAATGAAAGCTCCTGAGGGAAGGGATCTGTTGTCTTTTTTGTTCCCTGCACTACTCAGTTCCTGGAACAGTGCCTGGCATATAAGAGGGAGATCGGTGTGTTTATTGAATGAATGAACAAAAGGGCAAACCTATGGAGAGAGACTGCTGGACATCAACAAAGCCAAATGCCAGTGTATTTAGATGTAAACTGTTTCATAAAGGGCATAAAGGCACCTTCTTTCCTCACTTTTCTTTCCTGCTCCCCACCCTTCCACACACATGCACACGCCCACCTCCACCAGGGAGCCCACCCTGCTCACCGGCCTGCTGTGGCGGGGGCGGCACCGGATGCGGAGCACCGAAGCCAGGATGACCACAAAGATGGTGCCCACCACTGTCAGGAGGATCCACACATCGTAATCTGGCTGGGGGAGATAGCAGAGAGGGAAAGGGTTATAGTTATGAAAGGAGCTGCGCCAATTTGGCAGGAACACGGGAGCCCAGGTAGCATAAAGATTGCTAAAGATCCCCTTGAGTCTTCCAGCAGAGGGGATGGGGTGGGAGGCACCTGCAGATGGGGTCAGGTAGTTCTCTCTGCCCACGGGCACTTGTAGGAGAGGGTCCTCTAGATGTCAGCTGTGAGAGGCACTGTCTAAAGACTTGCGTGCTTGGGAAAAGGGGGAAAGGGGCCCCTCTGAGAGGTAGGAGCTATCCTGTGAGCAGCTAGGTGAGGTTTCTAGCCAGCAGAGAAACATCAGCCAGGGTTTAGGGGGCCAGGAGGCCAAGGTTTCATTCTGGCTCTGCCTCTCTGTGCCATGAAACCACAGCACTGAAAACCACTTTAGAACTCAGCTGGCCTGGTCTGCTCTTTCTGTAGATGAGGCCCAGAGAGGAAAAGAAAGTGCCCAGAGGAACACAGCTGCTGGATGAAGTTGGACTAGGGGGTTTCTAAGGTCTCTCCAGCTCCAGGAGTCTAAGGGCTTTTGATGGGAGATGCTGTGAGACAAAGTGAGGGTAAGCGCAGGTGCTGGGGCAGGGTCTGGAGTGCTTACCCAGGCCGGGGGCTCCTTCAGCTCAATCCTCACAAGGGCCTTTCGGTTCTTGTACACAAACTCCATCAGCTTCTCGGCATCATTACCCCAGATCAACACCACTGGCCAAGTCAGCCCCAGGGGCTGCTGCAGCTGCAGAGAGAAAGTGCCCGCAAGGGCTACTGTGTCCTGTCACTTCATCTTCCTCTGTCCAGCCCCCACCCGCATCACCCCAATGTCCCTGGGTACCTGCTCTGCAGCAGCTCGATCCTCAGTGATGTCAAAGAGGACAGCACTGGCTCCTCTCTCACCCGCCATTCGGGCCTGCAGAGACACACAGCAGAAGCCCAGCTGGGGTCAGAGAAGGACACACCCCATCCACGCCNACCTTTCCGTGCCCTGTCACTTCATCTTCCTCTGTCCAGCCCCCACCCGCATCACCCCAATGTCCCTGGGTACCTGCTCTGCAGCAGCTCGATCCTCAGTGATGTCAAAGAGGACAGCACTGGCTCCTCTCTCACCCGCCATTCGGGCCTGCAGAGACACACAGCAGAAGCCCAGCTGGGGTCAGAGAAGGACACACCCCATCCACGCCCAGCCTCACATCCTCTCCTTCCCAGGATCTTGCACGCACCACACGCCTGCACACTTACATGTAAGGGGTCAGCGGAGGACTGGGACCCTCTGCCCTGCCCTGAGCTCGCCTGGGTCCTACTGCCTTCAAGGACAACATTCAGGCCTTCCTTTCCTAATGGAACAAGCCTTTAACAAGGGTTTCATAGGTGTCAGGTGGTCAACTAGGCTCTAAGGCTAAGGCCAAATAAGGCAGCCCCTGCCCTCAGGCCTCCACCAGTCTGTCTCCACTAGGAAGAGTGAGAACAGAGAGTAGAGTGGCCAGCACCCCAGGCAGTGAGGATGGCGAGTCCCCAGTACAGAGAGGGAGGGGCGGGGGCAGAGAGGTGGAGAGATGCTTCCGAATGGAGCTGGGTAGCCCTGGCCACAAGAGGAGCCTGCAGGGCACCCCCCCAGCGCAGGCAAGGTTCCAAGACCCTGGGACACAGCTCCTTCCCAAGGTCTCCGTGGCAGAGCCCCAGGCTCAGCCTGTCCCTTGAGCTCTCTCCCCCTGCCACACTCTAGTTTGCCAGCTCTTTCTCTAACTCCAGTTCAAGGACTTGATGGAGTCCCTGTCCAGTGCTTTTCCTTTCATCTCCTCCCTGAGAGGTGGCACTAGAGACTCGGGTGGGGAGGGACCTGAGAGGCTGTTCCCACAAGGACACGGCTCTACGCGTGTGCACATGCATGCTCGCCAGGGCTCCAGGAGCAGCAGGCTTGGGGAAGCAGAACCCAGCCAACCAGGCGGAGCAGAGAGCACAGCCAGAAAGACAACAAAAAGCGGGAATCTAGGGGCTCAGGGTGTGGGCAAGAGAAGGGAGATAAGAGCTGAGGGTGGGGTTTAGGCACCAGGGCAAAGGACCGACAGACAGAACTGCTCTTGGCCTTAGTGTCAGGTCTCCCTACCCAGCACAGCCACCTCCAGACTTCCTCCCTACAGCAAAGGCTGGGCCCCCATGACCCTGGGGGCCTGCTGAGTCTTTGGGGCCTTCTGGCAGGCACTGAAGGAGTTAATCCTTCTGCAAGTAGTGGTGGCAGGAAGGGGAGCCAGTGCTGGGGCTTACTCACACTCTCAGCGCTTTGATCTCTGTTTCCCTTCCCGGAGAGAGCCTGTTGGGGCAGGTCTCCTGCCAGGCAGGCCAGGGGAGCGGCCAGTGCTCCCCGCTCCCTGCTCCTACTCCCCAGGTGGCAGCAAGGCCAGGGGCCCCTCAGAACAGGCAGCCTGCAGGCAGGGGAGCCAGGGGATGGTGGTGGAGACGCTCAAGTGGGGCCCTGTGCTTGTCAGGAGGGTAACTTTCCTCTTCCCTCCTCTCCCAGAGAAGCTGGGCTGGGCCCTCTACCAACACCCAGGCCCAGCCCAGGCCCAATTCACCAGGCTAGTGACTGGAAATTCACAGGACTCCGGAATGGAGTATCTGGTGAAATTCAGAGGTCACAGCCTTTATTCCCCTCCTACCTACTTCCTCTCAGAAAGTCCACCCCATCTAGGAGACCCCAGGCAAAAAGCTCTTCAATTTTCAGAGCCCTTCAAGCCAGGGTATGGGAACAGCCCCAGGGGGAAAGCAGAGGGACTCCTACAGCTAATCTCAGAGTCCAGAACTTGGCCAAGGGGTGGGTGGGAGGTCACCCTCGAGCCACAGAATTGAGACTCTGGGATCCTCTGTGTTGCCAGGGCCTCATGTTTCTCATCCCCAGAATGAGACCCTGGACCCAGCCCGGCCTGGAAGAGCATGAGGGAAGGGCACATTCTTCCTTCTCTGGAGATTTTCTTATTTCCCCACCCGGCTCTCTTTGAAGGATTGGGGTAGGAACAGTGGAAAGTAATTACCCTGACGTTCAAACACCCCAGCCCATTACAGCCCATAATTACAAAGCTGTAAAAGTGATCAAAGAGAGAAAGTCGGCCAAGAGGGGAAACAAAAAGGACTTTCAGGCAGTGGGTGCCTGTGTCCAGAGTTCTAGGAATCAAAAAGCAAGATTGGGGGCCTCTGGGGCTCTCCATTTCCTTCCCTTCAGTCCACCTGCACCAAAGAAAGTGGGAGAGAGGGAGAAAAAGCACTTCTTCAGGGACTAGAATCTGGAAATCAGAGAGGAAGAGAAGACTGGGCTTTAGAAAGATAATCTAGAGACCTCTGGGAGCTGCAAAGAGTCAGCCAGCCCCCTAGGGGCAGCAAGCAAGGCTGCCCACAGCCTCCAGCAATGGGAAACAATACAGCCCAGGACTTCTACACTACACCCTGCACTTCTCTGGCCTTAGGTTTTCCTCTCCAGATGCAGTGACAGTCTCAGTACATCTCCTCCTCATCAAAGATTGACTGAGCACCTATTGTGCCCAGGGCCTCAAGCCAGGGAAGGCCAGGCCCCCAGAGCAACTCATCATGTAGTTGTGGAGACAGGGCATATACATAAAATTATAACGCTGTTAACAACATTCTAGAGCACAAATGAAACAGACCAGTAGTTTCCAACCACTGAACACACACACACACACACAATCTGACACAAATCTTCAATATATGAAACATATATTGGGGGTAAGAAGGACTCGTGTGGAAAGCATGGCCAGAGACCCTGGGAGTGTTCCAGGAGTTAGGGATTTCTGCTCTGGGTGGGCTAGTTGGGCTGAGCCTGTTGGGAAAGATTCAGTGAAAGAGGTGGGATTCATCTGGGCCTGAAGGCAAGGGTAGAAGGAAGTAGAAGGGATAGAACCTTTATTGACACTCACTCTGCCCAGACTGCTTAGGTTTGAGTCCTGAATCTGCTACTAATTATTAGCTGTGAGACTTTAGGCAAGTCACTTAACTGTTCTGTGCCTCAGATTTCCTTTCTGTAAACTGGGGGTAATAACAGGACCTACTTCACAGAGTTGCTCTGAGGACTATATAAATTAATCCGTGTAATGCTTTATAATAGTGCCTGGCACATCGTATATGTTCCTTAAGCATTAGCTATTATTACATCCATGATTTCATTTATTCCACACAGCAGCTCTATGAGATGGTCATCAGCCTCTCTTTGGAGCTGAGGAAACCCAGGACCTCAGCCTCATGAGCGCCTAGTTACCAGAGAGCGGTCTCTATAGTGAGAGAGGCAGGGCTTGTGCCCATCTGCTTGCCCAGAGCCAGCTCCTTCCACCAGGCAAAAGGCCATGGCTCCAGTGAGGGACGAGGTGACAAAGGCCTGGGTAATCACAAGAATGGCTGTGGAGTTGCTAATAAAGAAACAGCAAGCAGTTTGGGTGACTGGATAGGGGGAGAGGGAGTGGTGCTGACAAGAATGGATGAGTCCAGAAGAATTAGGATGAAGGTTTCAGAGTGAAACCTGAAAGAAAAAACCAACCTCATCATTCTGAAAGCATGGGTGGATGACGACAATAGTTGTACTGCGGTCATTTATTGAGTGATTGCAATGAGCTTGGCATAAGGCTAAGAGCTTCCATCTGGACCATCTCATTAAATTCTCGGAACTACCTTATGATGTAAGTCCCACTATCATTCCCCTTTTACAGGTGAGGAAACAAAGGTTCAGAGAGGTGAGCTAAAATGTCCAGGTAACACTGAGGGGCAGTGGAGATGCCAGGTTTCAGGCCCAGGGCTGTCTGGCTGAAGAGCCCCAGCTGCTAGTGGTGATGGTACCACTGACACTAATTGACATGTCAGAGCAGAGTGGATCGAGGTCAGTGGTTTTCAAACCTTCCTTACCAAAGGCCCACACTTAACCTATGACTCCCTTGAGCTATTTTAAAAATATATATATTTTACCAAACTAGCTGCATTTATTCCGTACCACATTTTCCTATGAGATAACTTGTATTAGCTGTTAGAACTCTAACCAGAAGCAAAGCTAGAATATTTCAGTTAAGCCTATGGGACTCTAAAGTATTATAAGGAGCTCAAAGACCCACATTACTACCTTCACAGATCTGATTTGGTCCAGACAGTCCCAGGTAGGAGCTACTTGGTGAGGTCAAAGGTGAGGGAAGTCTTGGCCCTGACCAGTGGGGCAGCTTGGGGCTACAGCAGTTCCCACCAGAGGTTCCTACCCAGTGGAGGGGGAGATGCCAGGGGAGAAACCGAGGGGAGAGTGCAGTGGGGGGCAGCGGGGAGGAAGCGTGGGCAGTGACCGCAGAGGCTGAGAAAGACCAGGTCCCAGGGCAGAGGCCAAGGTGCTTCTAAATCCCTGGCTTTTGTTTGTTTCAGCTCAGGCACCATTTGGCACTTGAAATACATTATATTCATCGCAGGTATCACTGGGGTCGGAAATAAAAGTCCCACTTTAAGGTGGTGGGAACAGAGGCCCAGCGAGGTTCAGCAGCTCAGAGCCCTGGCCACACACAGGTTCCTCGCCCCCCAGTGTCTGTGCGCAGGCCCCATTTCTCCCACGGGAGTGGGCTCCTCCAGGGGGCGGGAAGGGGCCTCCCATGCAGACACGTCCCGACAGGCTGCCCAGTTCACAGGTATGTGAAATCATACGCTGCGCTGCAAGGACAGCAGAGCTCCTCTGAACCCCCCCCGCCCTCTGCGCTCACATTCACACCACCTAACACGGAGGACTTCTCTACCAAATGAACAAATGAATGACATTTGCCCGTGTTTTGTAAGGCGAGGGAAATGAAATGGCCAGAAGCAGGGGAGCTTCGGCCTCGCACAGTCCTGCTGCCGTTAAGGACCCTCCGCCTTGCAGAGGGAACGTCTTCACCTGCCTGTGGGCGCCCACACCCTGCCCCCCACGGGATCACGGAAGAACCCCGGCTGTTCCCCTTGAGACGCATGGTTCAGGAAACAGCGCTCAAGGGGGACCAGAAAAGCCTCAGGGGATCTGGGCCTGCGCACAGTGAGCAGGTACACAGGCAGGGACTGTCACCCTGCTGGCAGCAGGACCTCGTCCCCCAAGTCCGCGTGACTGTGCTGCGCACAATCTAACTACGCTCTGGCTTACGTCCCCATGAGGATCTTTTCACCTATGTTCTGTTCTCCCAGCCAGAATGGGAGGTAACAGAGCAGAGAGAGTAAAAGCCCGGGTTTGAGAACTGGACAAGGCTCAGTTCACATCTCAGCTCCACCCTTCCCAGCTGTGTCATCCTGGCAAGTTACTTAAACCTTCTGATCCTCACTTGCCTTATATGTCAAACAGGGAATAGCAATGTCTAGCCTTCCTGGTTTTCATGAGTCGCAAATGAGAGAATCCGTCCCACGTCCCGCCTGGCACATGGTAAGCACACAGAACACAGTAACTAATGTTAAAACAGGGCTCACGGATGCAAAGGTTTCCAGGGCCTGCGAGGTGGCAACCAGACAGCCCATGTCTGGAAAGGCCGCAGCTGGCAGCAGTGCCCCGTGGAAATGCGGGGCTGCCAGTTTGCAATCTGGGAGGAAGAGCGGGGCCACAGCTTCGGGGCCACAGCTTCTGCTCCTGCTGTTCTTACTTAGTGCCCAGGAAACAGTCCCCAAAGATGGGGAAGCCCTCCGACTGGCTCTGTTTGCTCTGATGCTGGGCAGGGGAAGCGGCTCAGCAACTCCCAGGTGATGGAGGAGGAGAGGGGGGAGGCACATGCCCTAGGGGACAGTCAAAAGATTCTGCTGGTAGGAGGGTGGTGGGAAAGGACAGAGGCCTGACTTTTCTCTCTCACACCTGGCTTAGGAAAACCTGAGTGAACCAGGTACACATCACTCATAGGAGACAAGGGGCCAGAGGGCCTCTCGAAGCCAGAACTGTGTGAAGTTCAGAGTATATGTGGGGTTGAGTATGAATCTACCTTGCTGGCCAGTGACAGGCAGGGGCGGGGAGCCCGCTGGGGACTCTCCAGCTTGACAANGCCTCTGGAAGCCAGAACTGTGTGAAGTTCAGAGTATACGTGGGGTTGAGTATGAATCTACCTTGCTGGCCAGTGACAGGCAGGGGCGGGGAGCCCGCTGGGGACTCTCCAGCTTGACAATGCTGATGAATCCAGGCTCCAGATTGTCGTCATCACTGGCATTGCACAGGTACAGGGGGTGGGACTGCAGAGAGAGAGAGAGACAGGTTAGGGAGGCTCCAGGGAGCAGGAGTAAGCTGTGAGAGCCAAGCACTTCTCCACTGTTCCAGGCAGCAACCAGGCAGGCCCCTGGTGCTAGGAAAGAGGGAGCATTCTTATTAGATAGCCTCGTAGTGAGCTAGTGAGCTGCTCCCAGAACTTAAGGCCTATTAGTCTAGTGATCAAGGTTTAGGTGAAAATGGAGGCAGGCAGTAAGAGGTTACAACCATCTGCTGCTTTGCTTGACCCCTTCCCTCTCCCCCGACCCCACCATACTACCCGTGGTCCAGCTTTCTCAAGATAACTCCAAGAGATCTCTCACTGACCAGAGGGTCACTTGGGAGAGGGGAGAAAGTCACTTTGGAGAAGAGTAGTCTTTAGAGAAGGATCTGCAAATACTTAACCACCTCTCCGCCCCCAGGCCTTCGCAGTGCTATGTTGTAGGATGCATCTGAGGAGGTGGAGGGGGAAAAACTTGGTGTCAGAGTCACCAGACTGTCCTAGTCCTGAACTAACAACTCTGGGAGAGGGAAGGGGGGGAGATGACCATTAGTAATGCCCCTGGTGTGCCAGGGCCTTTAGATGTTACCTCACTGTGAGTAGGTATGATTATACCCATTTAAAGAGAAAGAAGCTTGAAGCTCAAAGTTAAGGTCACTCAAGACTAGAACCCAGCTCTGTCTGACTCCATCCTCTGGAGTCACGAAACTCCAAGTGAACCCCAGTCAGCCCTCCATTGTTGTTGACGATGACGACGATCGTGATGATCATCACGACGATGACAGTTTAGGGTTACTGGATGGATACGGTGGGCCATGGATTGTTCTGAGCACTTTGTGTATTAACTCTTTTCATCCTTAAAACCCAATGAGGCAGAAACTAGTATTGTCTCCATTGTAAAGATGAGAAAATGGAGGTCGTAAGAGGTTACATAAGCACCTAGGATTATGCAGCTAAAATCAGAAGAAATGAAGTATAGTATAAGATAGGTTAAAAAAATGTTTTTGAGAACAATTTCCATTTGACTTTGACAACATGATACCGTCCTTCAGCTTATGACCAGGAAAATTTGCTTTCTTCATTCCACATTCCTAACACATAAAGGCCCAAACACAAGTCCCTGGAATATTAGTGCAGTGATGTCGTCCAGGAATCTGTCTTAGGCCCTCTTCTCTTTTCACTCTCCATGTGTCCCTGGGTGACCCCACACAATCCCATGGCTGCGTTTTCCACATAGAGGTTGCTGACTACATGTGTGCAGCCCACACCTCTCTTGAGTTCTAGACTCAGATGCCCAACAGGTAGGGTCTAGATATTTCTGCAGAAACTTAAATGGCACACCTCAAATTCAGCATGTTCAAAATGGAACTAATCCTTTTGTCCCTCAAAACTTCTCCTCCAGGGAGTGGAACGACTCTCTGCCTATCCCCCAAGTCAGATGTTGTCCCCATGGTCTCTTCTCCTTTTCACCCTCTACCACCAACCATCACATTCTCACAGTTCCCTCTCCTCAACACTTACCTGTCGTCTTTTCTCCATTCCCACTACGGCTACTCAATACAGGCCCCCACCGTTGCTCTTCCAACTCACTGAAACAGCCTTTTAATTGGGGTCACCTCTCCCCACTCAGTTCTCTATACTGAAGCTAAAGTGGTCTGAAATGCTAACTCAAGCATGCCACTCTTCCAACTTTAAGCTCTTAAAAGGCTCCTTATAGCTCTTGGAATAAAGTCTGTGCTTTGACACATAGCTTAAGAGGCTCTGCCTGCTCCGGGCGATGCCTCCATGCTCTGCCTCGAGGCTTCCCTTTCCCTTCCCACACCTCCTCCTCCCTTGCAGCACATGCTCCAGAAATAACTGTTTCATGTCCCTACGTTTGGCACTTGCTGCTCTGTCAGGACAGATTAGAGGCCTCTCCTCGGGGCCCCTCAGCACCCTGTATTTCCCCAATCATAGGCTTATCCCATGGTAT